TGCAATAGTGTAAGTATGATTTGCATATACAGTACAGTAGGACTACCAATGCACTGTCTCATAACGTTTCTTGGAAGCTCTACAGTATATCGGACGAGATAATACTTTTACAATAATATATCAGACAGAATACTTTTAACACTGTTCATTATAGAGAACTGAATTTTAAGTTATATTTGTTTTTAATAATTTACGATAACGTGTATTTATAGAAATAAAGGTATATATTTATGCACATGTTACATTTTAACGCAAAACACCTACAACAGAATTCATCAACCATCAGTATTTCCAATCAAGGTAAATCAATATGCTGGATAGGAAACAAGGAAAACTTGTTTTTTGGAGGAAAATTAATCAAAATTCAAACATGAATGTCTTACTCCATCCGTATTTTAAAGAAAACTTTTAAAAAGCGTTTTACAAAATGTTCATCATCTTTCCTTCACACAGAAAATTTATTCTGTTTGAGAACAATAGTAATAATTTGTTCAACTGGAGTCCTTATCTAATTAGTAAATAGGAGTTGTAAAAATGTAAAGAAATTCTGTAGGAGACTGAAATAAATAAATAAATAAAGCAAACGAAGAGGAGGAATAAATAGATGAGGAGGGAGGGAGAGGAGAAAGCAAAGAGTTAGAGGAGGAAAGGACACAGCAGGAGGAGGTTGAAGAGAAAGAGGTAGAAATATAGGCAAAAGGAAGAGGGAATTAAGAGGAAAAGAAAGAGGAGCAGGGGAAAGAAAAGAGAGGGGATGAAAAATAGAGAATAGCAGGTGCGGAGAAGGAAGCAGAAAATAAGGAAACAAAATTAGGAGAGAAGAAGAAGAGGAGGAGGGAGAACGAAAGTAAAAAAAAAAAACGAAATCCAGGAGGAAGGGCAGAAGAAAAAGAAGAGGAACGAATGGAGCTAAGAAACAGACCGAGAAAGAGGACGAGGAAGGGGAGAAAGAAAAAGAAAAAGAAAAGAAAAGTTACAGCAATAAAACAAAAAAATAGAGCGAATGAAAATAATCAAAATGTCACTCATACAAATCCCCCCCCTCCACACCCACACACAAAACAGAGAAGAGGCAGTAGCATTTAACAGTCTGACAACGCAAGCGTAAACAGAAATAGACAAGTTACCCCTTTCCCACGCATAAGGCCGTCTTGTTCCGAATATCTACCAAACATTTAAATAATAATGATACAGAATAATAATATAAATAAATAAATATCATGAAAACAATAAAAAACAATAATAAAAAATAAAAAATAATGATAGAAAATAAACAACAATTCCTGACAAGAAGAAAATGAC